ACAAGACCAAGTTGCGACAACGAGGTCAACCCACTTCAATAAATCGAAAGGAGACTGCGACCATACCAGAAGCTACAACATTTTGGTCTTCATATATTCAATTAATACATGAAACCTACTCCATCTCTTCGGCTGGACCATGTTTTCTCGTCGCAACCAATTCGGTTACTGAGCCACATCTTCTGTTCATACTGTCGCTCCTCTCCTCAAGTCACCCTTCTTCATCTGCGTTGCACCAACTCACTCCTACCCGAACACGATTGTCACTCTTTCTCGAGGCACCTTTGGCGCTTGCCCTCGACCCCTGAGCTCCACACGGCTTGATGTGGGAAAGCGCAAGTGAACAGACAGACGCCCAAACCCACGGAACACATACAACCAGCCCGGCCAGCCTTCATCGTCTCCTCGATCAACCGACCGATTAACCAGAGATCCCATTTTACCCACACCAGATAGAACAAGACGTTGAAGTTATGCAAAAAATTGACTCTCGACTGAAGTCATTGAGACCAGTCGTGTCAGATAATGCTAGTGACTGTCTGTGAAACTGGCTCGGCTGTCAAGGCACTGCGGCTCCATATGCTGGGTCCACACTCCGGCACATACCTGCTCTGGCTGGGCCTAGCCTAATCCCTCCTACTTCAAGAGGGCCCTCCACTTGAGGAATGCCCTCACACTGACCACATCGGCACGCAGGTGGAATGGGACCAGTCGAAGTGGGCGGGTATCATCTGTCCCGTAAAGGGTCAATTGCGCTTATCTCAGGCTTCCTGTATCCTGTATTATCCTATCAAAATATCTTGATAATCACCTGGTCTGATGCAAATCCCAGACTCCGGAGACCTTGAGCCCAAGCCAGCTGGTCAACCGCGAACCTCTTCTCGGGGTTCGACTCACTGACGCCTGTCTGATTTATGATAAAGTCCTCCTCTTAATTTACTTCTCTCCCTTGCCTCCATCTCAACACACACACGCACACGAACACGAACACAAACACACACGCACAAACGTAAACAAGCAAACAGGCACACTAGCACACTCGTGCACATAAAAAGGCAGCCATATAAACGCGTAAACGTGTATGTGCGTGGATATGGTTGGAACAAGGGAGTATCAGCAGACGATGCTTAAAATTGCACATTTTTTAAGTCTTTTCCAGAAGAGTCTTTGTCAATTCCCACAAGGGTTGATGTGAGATCACGAAAAAAGGGCTATCAATTGGAGCGGATTCAGAGGGGCCAGTATAAAACACCACTTGGAACCGAATCGCCATTCCACATCAGACAGTGTGGATATGATAGATTGGAACTGGGTCGGGTTTGGGGCATTAACAGGTCAAGCTTAAGTGGAGGCCCAATGCAAGGGGAGGATCATGAAGACGCGTTCTGGAGCATACATGATGGACGACGGAGGTGGATTCAACAAATCGAGCAATTTGAGGAATTTATGAAAGGTGGGAATGCCAGCTGAATTGGAGAAGTGAGAGGGAATCAGAGCAATCGGGAATAGATGGTTGAATGGAAAGCCTAAAAAATGCCTCCACCGCTTGGTTCGAGTCCATGTCGGCGAGGGGTCATGCTGAAATCGCCCCAAAGGCCCTCTGTCCGAGTCTATTTGGGGGAGAAATAAAACTACAACTGAGAGCTGTTTGCTCTTCCACTCAGCGATTTGGATGACCTGCACAAGCTGATGACATTTCCAGTTGAACCGATTGGCCCCGGACACGCATAAACGCAGATTGGACCCCGCCATGCTTCAATCGTCAGTCTCAAGAGGATTCAAACCTAAGCACATGCGTGGAGACCAGGCAAGATCTCTCTTGGCGATCCTCTCAAGGTGTGGATACGCAAATGGGGCAAGCTTGGATATATGAAGAAGAATTATTTAGTGAAACGGTTTGACCTTGTTTTCGCAACATGGTCATATTGGTAGGAAGACTTAGAGAAACACACCTAGTCCGGAGTCCATTGTCTGCATGATCATTGCCAAAGTTGAACCGTGGACGTGGTACATTCTCAAATAACTTATATACAACGAAAGGAGACTGCGACCACACAAAAAACCACACCATCTTGGTCTTCATACCTTCAATTATTTAGTGAGTTATTATGACATGACTTTTAATTTCAAGGAAAAAGTTGGTTCGAAGCAATTGGTGAAGAATGAAATATGTTGGATTTTGCAAAGGAGCCATCGCCTCACCGTCCTGTGACTCCGATTAATCTGTACTAAGCTTTCATGTGTTTCACTGTGACAAACATAGTCAAAGCGAGAAATGATACTTTATGCAATAACGCAACAAAAGTATCGTTCCCGTTCTGACGATGTCTATCACAGCGAGACAGACGGACACTTAACACGGGTCCCTCAGGCTAGCAGGATGGTGAAACTGCCTCTGTTTCCTTTTGCTTTAATCCGACATTCTTCTGTGTTCCTGCTCCGAGTTTCAGTGAGACCAATTCACCAATTCCTTCGAAGTGAAAGCTTGAAATGAC